GTAAGAAAATAATAAAGAGCAAGACCAGACGCTCAAAGACTTAAATACACAAATGAGAAGGTTTGTGTCTGGAGCAGTTGAAATCACTTGTTCTTGCAGAGGTACTAGGTTAGATTTCCAGCCCTCACATAGTGGCACAAAATCATCTAAAACACCAGTTGTCAGGTATCTGACATGCCCTCTGGCCTCCGTGAGCATCAAGCATGCACATGGTACTATATAACATGAATAAAACCTTAAGGTGTTTTTAAATAAAATGTTAAGAATGAAAGCATAGGTTAAAAGCTAGTACAGTCTGGGACTGTAGAGGTGGCTCAGCAGTTAAGAGCTCTTTCAGAGGACGTGGGTTTACTTCCAGCACCAACATGTTGGTGGTTTATAAGCATCTATCACTCCAATTCCAGGGGATTGAATGCCTCTTCTGACCACCCTGGACATCAGGCATGCTAGTGATGTATATACATTCATGTAGGCCAAACTCATATGCAAAAATAAATACAGCTACACATAGTGGCACACAGTGAGTTTCAGGCCAGCCAGAGATGTGACCCGCCTCAAAAATAAATAAATCTCTAAAAATGTTTAAAGAATGGTTTTAACAATACAGCATATACAAAGTAAACAAGCAAATTATCTAAAAATAAAAGTCACTACAGTAGAAATTTAAAACTTAACTTTTAAACAGTATATTGCATATAGCAAGAGTTTCTGAAAGGCTGAAATCTGAAGAAGCCATGGATAATTCTGCCATGAGTTGAAGGCATTAAATGTGTTAAGAAATAAAAGGTAGCTCTTTGCCCCATCAACTGTGAGAATGAAGACCATTCTCAGCAATCAGACAGTTGACATCACTCTGAAGGGGCACACAGTCATTGTGAAGGGCCCCAGGGGAGCTCGGCAGAGGAACTTCAATCACATCAATGCAGAGCTGAGTCATCTTGGAAAGAAAAAGAAAGGGCTCCAGGTTGACAAATGGTGGGGCAACAGAAAGAAACTGGCCACTGTCAGAACCATCCGCAGTCATGTTCAGAACATGATCAAGGGTTACACTGGGCTTCCGCTACAAGATGAGGTCTGTGTATGCTCACTTCCCCATCAACGTTGTTATTCAGGAGAATGGGTCTTTGGTTGAAATCCAAATTTTCTTGGGTGAAAAATACATCTGCAGGGTTCATATGAGGACAGGTATTGCTTGTCTTGTCTCTCAAGCCCCGAGGGATGAATTAATCCTTAAAGAAAATTATATTGAACTTGTTTCAAATTCAGTGGCTCTGATTCAGCAAGCCACAACAGTTAAAAACAAGAATGTCAGAAAGTTTTTGGATGGTATCTGTGTGTCTGAAAAGGGAACTGTGCAGCAGGCTGATGAATAAGACTTAAGTTACCCTGCCTTAGAAACAAAATCCTGAATTATAAGTACAAGTTGGAGTGTCTTTGGGAATAAAAGATTTATATTGAAAAATAAAAAAGAAACAAAAGGTAGAACAAAATAGCTATTATGTGTTTAATGATAGTTAGGTGGGAAAGAATGAGGGAGGTGACTGATGCCAAACACCACCATGTAAACTAGAGTGGCATGACCAGAACTAAAGCACCGTTCATCACATTTAATGGGACAAATATGTCAAGTGTAGACATTTACAAGGAAGATATGCTTGTAAAAGCATCCAGTAAATAATGAAAGAATTGATATTACTTCTAAACCAGTAGAAGGAAAATAGTAAATAGAACATTTTGAAAGAAAAACTGACACTTTAACAGTGAGGAAAGTGTAAATGGAAATATCAGTTATCTAATCTGTTAAAATACATTATCAAGTATCATAAATTCATTACTTAAATGTTTTTCACAGAGGTCTCAGCACATATAAAAAGCTAGACAAAAATAAAGACTGGTAGGGACTAGAGAGAATGCTCAGTGGTTAATGTGCTTGCTGCTCTTGCAGAAGACCTCAGTTTGATTCCGCAGCATTATATCAGTTGGCTCACAACCATACCTATAGGGGATATGGCATCCTCTTCTGGCCTTCATGGACACCTGCATTCCAGTGCACTAAGCTACACACAGACACATGGGCATGCATACACAATTATAGACAAATAAATCTTTTAAAATATAAATAAGTAAGCACTAAGAGACTGACCATTCATATATAATAACATTAACACTAAACACAATGAATTTCAAACAAGAAAGTATTGCTAACAGATAATCCATAATAGTTCTGAATCTCTGAATCAAAATACTACAGGCTAAGAATAACATTCAAAAATTATTAAATGTATAAGTTGGTCATAAAGAGTTTAATATTTTAGTTAAGTACAACATAATTAAAAAGAGATAATATTAGATATTATATAATATAATTATAACATAATATTAAAAAGAAGTTGTGCTCTCTGGCCCATTCCTTTAATTCTATACCCAGGAGTCTGGAAAAACAGAAAACTTGCAGGAAGATTGCAAATTCATGTCCAACAGAACAACTACATAGTGAGATGTCTTACAAAGAAGTGAGACTCTTCCTTCCTCAGATCAAAAAGGAAATAAGAAAACAGAACATCTGTAACCATTGATGATGTTACCTATGTTGTGTGAATTGAAGTTAGTTGTCTTTTATTCCTAGTGAGTTGGTGGGTTTCGGTGTTTTAATCATCAAGGCTTGTTCAGGGCTTTTTTTTTTTTTCATTTATGGAGATGATGCTTTTCTATATTGTATTCTGTTAATAGACAGTTTTACAATAACTACACAAACTCCAGTTCATTGGAAAAGCCCTTCAATTTTGTTGTTCAGAGTCCTTTTTGTGTATTGCTGACCTCTTGTTGATACCGTTTTGTTGATATTTCTCTCTCTCTAATGTGTGTTGATGGGTAATTTTTTTTGAGAGTGTTTGTTCAGAATTCATGTTTTGTCTTGATATCAGGTTAATAGCTTTATAGAATGAGTGAGAAGTGTAGCTGCTTTTGTCTAAATCATTTTCAAACAGTTGGAATTAATTCTTGTCTGAGGGCAAAATAGCCATTGAAAACATCTGTTCCTGGATTTTTTTATTTCTTTGTTGATTGTTTTTGTTTATTGATCTTATCTGTACTTGCTTTAAGTCTACTCAGACTTTCTGGTATTTTTTGAGTCAGTTAGCCAGATTGTGTTCTTCTAGAAATTGGATTATTTTGCCTAGGTTATCTAATTTATGGAAGTATTGATTTTATTGTATTTCCTTGTATTTCTGTATTTTCCCTTAAAGTTGAGCTTATCTGGCTTTTCATTATCAGTCTAGTTAATGTTTTCTGGTTTTTTTTTTATTTTTTTATTTTGTAAGTAATAAACTTTTAGTTTCATTGATCTCTATTTTTCCATTTTATATTTTATTGATTTCTCCTCTGGCCATTTATCTGTTTATATTATACTTGCTTTGATTTGGTTTTTAACTTATTTCCTTTTAGTGTGAGACATGGGGTTATCGATTTGATTTTTTTCCCTTGGGTATATGTTTAGAGCCTTAAACTTTCAAGCACTGTTAGCTGCATCTCCTACCTGAATAACCACTCATTAATTTGATCACTTGTTCTTTCTGTATATGTGAGAATTTTTAAATAACCATAGCTTGATAGTTTTTATTCCTTAAGTTAATCACCTTTTTCATTTTAACTAAATTAGCAAGAACAAACCAAAGGATTTGGTATTATATAATAATTATGTATTAAGTTCTCCAGTTTCTGATATCATTTTAAGTTGTTTTGTTCGTTTGTTAGTTAGCTTTGAAAAGAGATGAGGCAAAAAATTATGAAGTCCATCTTGGGCAGGGACAGTAGACCCTTTTCTAGGTGTCAGCATTCTTCCTTTTCTAGATAAATAGCACCTTTGACTCAGTACATATGGAGTAGTGCTTTCTAGACCACCCCTGCCACAACATCTTAAAGCTAGAATCCATAGCTGCTTAAATCTTATGTAAACAGCATGGCATTTATATATAACCTGTATGTGCCACTTAACTATAAACCTGAGCTTAAACTCCCTTACATAGACCTTAAGTTGTACTTTTTTGTTATTGTTGTTACTCAGTGTTTGTAGATGACCCATGATTATCGTATACTTAATACAATGAAGTCATTTGATTAATTTCCCACCCATTTTTCAGGTTTCTGCCAGAAGAGAGAGTATGTGTCTATGTGTATGTGTCCATGTGTGTCTGTCTGTGAGAGTGTTTCCATGTGTGTGCACGCATGCCTGTATGAACACTTGACTATGGTTATAGGTAATGACATGTTTTGTAGGATCAAAGATCTTCAGTAGTAAATAATACCACTCTTTTATAGGAGACTTGCTGAGATTTTATATATATATAAGTAAAATACACAAATTTCATATAGCTTATTTTCTGCAGTGGCGCTACAAATTTAAGTAAGCAAGTGTGACAGGATATTGGCAAACCTTGAATCTTGATGACCACTGTCTATGTCACTGTATTTACCTGTTGTTCTTTATAGTGATCATTTTTCTGTGTAACAGGAAATAAATCCTTGATGATGATTGAGGGCAATACAAACACATTTGACAGCATGTAAAAACAAAATTGATTGGTAAAGAGTTCTGAAGTTCAGATGTCTTCTTAGTCACTGATGTATGCTGTATATTGCATACCTTTTGTTCATAGATAAGTTTTGTATTCAAATACTAAATATAGTTTAACTGTCTAATAAAATGTGTTTAATATCTAATAGAGTGTTTGAATGAACATGTAATTATAGCGGTAAGTCCTGCTCCTGTGCCTAATTATTTGATCTGTACTTTTGTTTGGAATGGCAATAAAAAAATGAATTTCTTTTAAGTCACATTTCAGAAGAAATGCTAAAGCACATGTACATAGTTGCTATTTCTGAGTTACAGAAACTACTGGCCACTGTGGACTGCCACTAGAACTGATAATGTCATTTCTTTGTAAAACTCTAAGGTTATTCATATTTGTCTCTTAATAATATTACATTTATTTCTTCCCCAGATCTTCCTCAGAACTGTGATCCTAACATTCCCTTAGTTGCTCAGGAATTAATGAAAAAGATGATACGTCAGTTTGCAATTGAATACATTTCAAAAAGTGGTAAAATTCAAGAAAATAGAAATGGTTCTATTGGAGCGAATCTCATATGTAAAAGTATCCAGATGAACCAAGCAGAGAACTGCCTTCAAGATGAACAAGAAGGCCCCTTAGACCTCACTGTGACTCGAACGCAGGAGCAAGCTGCTCAGCAAGGTATGTTGTCTAGCATGTGATACTTATATTTTTGTTTTAAAGTATTTAAACATGGATGTGTTTTGTGTTCATAGGGAACATTATCTTTCTTTCCTGTTTCATTTGCATGGTGTAGACCAGAGAGATAAAAATTTTAAACCTTGTGATGCAGTTTTTAAAGATTTATCTTTTACTTAACTTACTGATGCATGGTGGCAGTGCACCTGTGTGTGCAGGTACCCAGGGCAGCCAAAAGAGGGGACTGCTACTATGGGTGCTGGGACACAACCCCAGGTGTTCTGAAGAACAGTACATGCTCTTAACTATGCGCCATCTCTCCAGCTCCGTATAGTACATTTTTAATAGTTTATAAAAGAAAATTTGAATGTGTCTCTTGTTTTTTCAAAATAGAGTATACATTAAGAATCTCATTGAGCAAGTTAAAAATAAAGGATGTGTATAAAGAGATACTATGAGAAAGAATTGTATTTCTAGTAGAAAGCCAAAAATATTAGTTTAGTATTGGCTCTTTAGTTTCTGAACTGAGATACAAAATAAGCACATGGTTTACCATCCGGTATTTTTTCTTCATTTTTTTTAGATTTATTTGTCTTATGTGTATGAATGGTTTGTCTACATGTATTTCAGCATACCACATGCATGCCATGTGAGTTCAGAAGTCAGAAGAGAATGTTGGACCTTCTTTGAAACTAGGATTACAGATAGTGTGAGCCACCATATGGGTGCGAAGATTCAAACTCAGGTCCTAGCATCAATTGCTTTAAACTGCTGGGCCATCTCTCCACATCCTTCCCAACCACAGTTTTATTTGTTTGTTTTTTGTTTTATAACTAAGAAAGGAGACAGTTGTACATGTCATAAATACACTACAATCCTATAATTTAAAACATACAAAGATACATTACCATGTTGAATATGTTAAATAGAGTTTATTTGTAATATACCTGTGACTTCACAGAAGACCACTCACCAAAAAAAGGGGGTAGGGGGCTTTTAAGAATGAAGGGAGGATACCAAATAAATGGCTTATTTGGAAATCAGAACAAGTAGCTTTTATTAACATGGTTTAGGGATCATGTCACTTCTTGGAAGCTGTGAAGAAAAAAAAAAAAAAAAAAAAAGAGGTTTCATTCCTGACTTACCCCATGCTTCATTAGAGTGTAGGTAATGCTCCAGGGATGCTCATCAAACAGGACTCAGAAAATGGAAAAAAGATAATTTAAAAAAAAAAAAAAAGTCACTGAAATGATCCTAGAATGCAGTGGTGCTAAGACTTTTTTTTAATTTATTTATTTTCATTTTTATGTGCATTGGTGTTTGCCTGCATGTATGTCTATGTGAGAATGTTAGATCTTGGAATTATAGACAGCTGTGAACCACCAGGTGGAGGCTGGGATTTGAACTTGGGTCCTCTGGAAGAGCAGTCGGTGCTCTTAACCACTGAGCCATCTCTCCAGCCCCAGGGCTAAGACTCTTATGGAATGAGCACAGCAGGCAATGTTTAAAAGAGACAGTCTCTAAAGACCCATCAATGTTAAACATGGGAGTAATCCCCCATATGTGGTTCCTAATTTTAGACTGAATAGTTATGTTCCTGAGAAATATTGTTATTAGGTTATAAGAAAGGTAAAATATATCTGCAATATAGGACTTAATGTAAAGCACAGGGTTTTAAATTTTTTTATTTGCTGTGTGCACTTGATATCTCCTCTCGAGGTTAGCATTCTACAGGATAGAACATGAACCTTAGTGTTTGACAGACTTATCGTTGCAAATAGGAAAAGATGGCAAACAAAAAGGAAAATTGAAACTTAAAAACATAAGTTCAAAATACTAAATTCCCATTGGAAACAGGAGAAAATAAGTAATAGGACAGAAGCCTACCACAGAGGGCCCCTAGCAGTGTATCAAAACAGATGCTGTGACTTATAACCAAACCTTGGGCAGAGTGCAGGGAATCATATGAAAGAAGGGGAAGTTCGTATGGCCTGGAGAGGACAGGAGCTCCACAAGGACCAAATATATCTCGGCACAGGAGTCTTTTCTGACACTGTTTCTCCAACCAAGGACCATGAATGGATATAACCTAGAACCCCTGCCCAGATGTAGCCTATCACAGCTCAGTATCCAAGTGGGTTCCCTAGTTAGGGGAACAGGGACTGTCTCCAACATGAACTCAATGGCTGGCTATTTGACCTCCTTCTCCCCCCCCCCCCCCCCCAGGGAGGAGCAGCCTAGCTAGGCCACAGAGGAGGACATTGCAGCCAGTCCTGAAGAGACCTGATAAGCTAAAATCAGATGGAAAGGGAGGAGGCCCTCCCCCATCAGTGGACTTAGAGAGGGGCAGGAAGGAGATAAGGGAGAGAGGGTGGGTTTGGGAGGGAGTGAAGGAGGGGGCTACAGCTGGAATACAAAGTAAATAAACTGTAATTAATATAAAAAATAATAAAAATTTAATTAAAAAAACAAAATACTAAATTTCCTCAAGTTGAATATAGTAAGGTATTATGCAATTCCATGATCTTAGCAAATAGACGGCAGAGGCAGGAAGATAAGAAGTTCAAGACCAGAAAGAAGGGGAGTTAGTCTGATGGGGAAAGGATAGGAGCTCCACAAGGACCAAATATATCTGGGCACAGGGTCTTTTCTGAGACTGACATTCAACCAAGGACCATGTATGGATATAACCTAGAACCTCTGCTCAAATGTATCGTGTGGTAGCTCAGTAACCAATTGGTTTCCCATAGTGAGGGGAACAAGGACTATTTCTAACAGGAACTCAATGACTGTCTCTTTGGCCTCCCCACCCCCCAAGGGAGGAGCAGTCCTGTTAGGCCACAGAGGAGGGCTTTGCAGCCAGTCCTGAAGATACCTGATAAAACAGGATCAGATGAATGGGGAGGAGGTCCCCCGCTATCAGTGGACTTGGAAAGGGGCATGGTGGGAGGGAGGGAGGGAGGGAGGGACTGGGAAGGAATGAGGGATCGGGACATGGCTGGGATACAGAATTAATAAAATGTAACTGATAAGAAAAAAATAAAATTAAAAAAAAAAAAAAGAAGTTCAAGACCAACCTGGACTACATGAGTCATGTCTTGAAAGAAAAAAAAGAGTAAAATTATAATAAATAAATACCAAAAATGAAATGGATAACCTGTATAAGACCCTATAAAGAATATCATAGAACTTACTGACTATTAGTAATTTAAAAAAATTCCAAAGCAAGTGCTTATATTTCAGCTGATTAAGAATGCTTTTGCAGATTTAATGTCCAGTCAGAATTTTACTAGTTTGTTGATTTTACTAAAGTGAAATTACTTCCTGATTTTAAAATTGACAAACAAGTCTTAAAGAGACAAGAATAACAAAATCAAGGTAATGAAAAGTTTGCTTTAAGACCCATAAAGGACTTAAAGTGAAGTAATTAAAACTGGATCATTTTGGTTAGAATATAATTCAGTGAAAGCTCAGAAATTCCCAAGGAATTACTGAAATCTTAGTACAATACAAGTGTCAGTATAAATCACTGAGGAAGAGGTCCTTCCTATTCTGTAAGTGTTGCAAGGCAACTGGTTACACACCCAGAAGGAGGTTGACAGTAGGTCTGTAAATAGCTCTGTACCATACACTGTTCATAAAAAAGTTAAGGAGTAAATGTGAAAAGCACATTTGCTGTTCAGAACACTGTACAGAATAGAATTTTGAGTAACAAAGTTTATAGAATATGAGTGCAGTTTTCACAACTTGTAGCCGTGTGACCTTTGCAGCCTAATTGACCATTAATCATTTTGTCCTGTAATTAGAAAATTAATATTAATAAAACAGTAATGTTGTTTGTTGTATGAACTGTAATGTGTTAAATTACACTATTAGTACAATACTGTCTGTCCTAGTTGCTTTCTGTTGCTCTGATAAACAGCATAACCAAAGCAGCTTGGGGCAGAAAGGGTATAGTTGACTTACATATCCTGCATATTGATTGAGGGAAATCAGGCCAGGAAGTCAAGCAGGAGCAGAGGCAAGAACCATGGCTGCTTGTTTTTATGGCATGCTCAGTTTCCTTCTTAAACAACCCAGGGTCATCTACCCAGAATGGAACTGCTCACAGTATTCTGAGCCCTCCCACGTCAATCATTAATCAAGAAAATTCCCCATAGACAGTCCCACAGGCCAATCTGATAGAGACAATTCCTCAATTGAGATTCCCACTTTCTGAGGTAACACTACTTTATACCACGTTAATACCCAACAGTAGTTATCACAAGTCCACTCTAGTCAGTTTGGCACCCAGTTGCAGAATCTCCTTGTATTATGCTTAGTTTCCAAATGCAAACACTAACCAGGACATAAATTTGCCTAACATGATATAACTATCCCATGTACTACCACAAATACATATTTTAGACGAGGTAGCAAAGTCCTTTGAAGAATGCTTGGTCTTTTAGGTTCTCATAATTTAAATATAATAATATAGATTTACAAAAACCACTGATATACTTCAATCAGTGTTACATTCCATAATAAACAAAGGAAACAGATATTGGCTTAATATATGTGTATTTGTGTACAAACATGTTTATAACAAAGTAAGACAGAAATATTCATATCAGCTATTTTTGTAACAGGTCATGTGGCCTTAGCTGGTTTTATAATTACCTTCTCTACTACCCCTTCTTTATTTCCTCTACCCTCGGCAAACACCTTAGCAAGTCTTGCTTCTTTCACTGGAGGGGTGACCCATACCTTCATTCTTGAGGGGTTTATGCCCTTTGTCATCCTGCCTATATTGTTTCCTGTTGACTTTAGTAATAGAACATGGAAGCACCAAAAGACACCCTAAAGAAGCACCTACACTCCAGATGTAATCTTCTCTACCTCCATTGTAGAGACCCGTCCAATTTCCTCCTGTACTCTGGATCAGTCACCCCATTCAAACACCTTTTCTTTCGACCTTCCTTCCTTTCTCCCTCCCTTCCTCATTCCCTTCCTGTCTCTTTCAC